CTCGTGACGTCACTAGCCATCTCGCGTATTGATCCATTCGCCAGGACATAGGGCACTGAAAGAATAGCTTGAGTGGGATGAAGGAGAAACGAGAATGAGAGAGAGAGAGAGAGAGAGAGAGAGAGAGAGAGAGAGAGAGAGAGAGAGAGAGAAAGAGAGAGAGAGAGCGAACAAACAAACTTTATTTTCAAAGGATTAAGAATTGAGTATGCAGTCCCGTCTAACATTCAGCCCTTCTAACCTCTATGGTTTCATAGATCTTTTCATTCATACATCTGTTACCACATAATAGTGAAAATGATCTATATCAGCTACAAATGACATACAGGCAATGGAATTTGCTTGATTTACACCTACACAAACTGTCAATTACTACCTTTGCTTTACCACTTTTGCGGTGTAGGCGGGCGGGGGTGGGGGGGCGGGTGCGAGGGGGGGGGGGTTCTTTGAGCTTGAGGATTTACGACCGCATAGCTAGTGCTGTCGCCACGGACTGTGCAGGTGAGGATTTCATTTTGCCCCGATAGGAAAAATCCCCAGCCTTGCCAAGGATTTAAACCCGGGTCTCCCCCGTAAGCACCCAGCGTTCTAACCGTTCGGCCAGCCGCTTCGTAACAATAGCAAACCACTTTAAATGTAATAAAGGGTTTCTACACTAAGAAAAGTGAGTGTCATCTCCACAAGGAAGGTTGGCTACAACAAACCCACTGATGTCTGTCAGAATATCAATCAATTGGACAGGCCTACACCTTTTCCCCAGAGCTTGTCTTGTATCGTCATATGAAAAACCCCGATTATTATTTTTTTTCCAACAACTCTTCCACATGGTAAATCAAACTCACGTACTCCAGAGTAATGAAACTGTTAAACGCATTCACCAACTACTGAGCCACAGATTCCTTTTCATTCTCAAAAAAAAAAAAAAAAAAAAAAAAAAAAAAATCGAGCACGTTCAATCTGCTTTCGGCAAAACAGTCTCCGGTTATATTTGTGGTCTGGTTTATTTGCACCACTTGCGTGACTAAGATCGTAATTTGTCCGCCAGCTTTCTGGTTTTATTTTCCTATCCTAGTAGTCAGATCGCTCCTTCCTGTCTGTGTCACAGTGTGTTCCTCTTATTCTTGTCTTCCGGATGTTGTCCTCGCGGGTCATATCTCCGTCCGGTTCATTCTCCATATTTTTTTGTCCTGGTATCCTTCAATGGGTTCCCACATTTGTTTCCCTCTGGTCTGACCAGGCGTGTCACGGAAGAGACCGAGCTAGTTCACAAAAGCCACAGAATCGCAAACCCTGCCTCAAATAAGCTATCACGACGAAGGTTAACCTATCGCTGAGTCTCTCTCCATTACTTCTTTAAATCCGTTTTTGGAAGTTAGTCCTGCAGTCGCCAGCTCTTTAAGGATTGGATAAAGCAAGGTAGTGTTGGCACTTCCACTCAATATGGAGGATCAACAGGTTTACTGTTGTTAGTCATGACAAGAGTTTGATTCTAACTATAGTTGGTAGTTGCATTTCCTCCATATGTAGACTGAAAGGATATCGTTACGTCGCCCAGCTAATGAGCTGAGTGCTTGGGGCGACACCATGAGCTGTAGATTTAATATGGACACGACACAAGTAAGGAGAGCTCGGCCTAATATAAAAACAACTCTCATAATAAATACTATAGTAAAGTGAAAAGTTGAGGGCTGGCCAGCTAGAGTAGACAGAAAGAAAACACACATTTTTTTCATGCGTACATGGTGCTAAACCTAGATTTTAAAGACCAATCGGCGCTAGACGACTGATTTGGTCAACATCACGCCGGCGGCCTTTACTTCTGATGACTTAACTTGGTTCAAATGTAAAGCCGGGTCGATCTGAAAGCCAATGGTATTTTTGACAAAGAAAAAAAGTCTGGCTATGTTCGAATTTGAACCCAAGACTTTCGGATTCTCAGGTCTAGTACGAGAATAATTTCAAGGCGTGAACGAACTAGACACTGAGTGTCTGTAGATTTAGTTCGGGAGGCAGAGAATGTTGATGATCTGTGGCAATCAACTGCCTTTGCCATGCTGGCATACACAATAGAGAACCCAGGCTAAACGTTTAAAGTAGAGACGGTTGTGATAAAAAATGAAGCAATCAAGCATCACGTGTTGTTTGGGGCTGAGTTAAACTGGGTAGGCCTAAGAGCTCACGTAAATGAAGAAACAAACAAAAACGAGAGATGTGGGGAGAGAGAGAAAATTCTCCGCTCTAGGGATTCATCTACATTACCACCAGGCCGACAGGTAAACGTGCCTTATATTGCGATACCAAGGCTCACGAAATTGTAATTTCTGGAAACTAAATGAACAACTTCTAGCCATCTCTCTCTCTCTCTCTCTCTCTCTCTCTCTCTCTCTCTCTCTCTCTCTCTCTTCTTTTTCTCTCTCTCTCTTTCTCTCTCTGTGTCTTTCTCTCTCTCTCTCTCTCTCTCTCTCTCTCTCTCTCTCTCTCTCTCTCTCTCTCTCTCTCTCTCTCTCTGGTGAGGAAGCAAAGATAAAAATCTCGTAAAAAATTAATCGACTGATAAATTGCTTTAAAAAAATCGGTTCGTGCTTTAGACAAACACGGCGCATTTACTAAATGATTCATGGCCTGTTGCCAGAGTGTGATTGTGGTATTGCCTTCTTAGACAATAACTAAAGTAACCAACCTAACTGATGTCTTAGGTGTATCTGGCATATGGTGCTAAATCAATATTTCTAAACCAGTCCCGGCGCCGACCACTATCACTTCCCACTACATTTTCTGGAATCCACATCACTCGCCAGAATGGCAGACTTGAAAATTAAGATCGGCATAGCAAAAAACGAGACGCACACCAGACACACAAGAAGACTTGTTAATCAACATATAACTGGTACTATTAGCCATCGGACGTTGGGGTTCATACTGAGGGGAGGATCTGAGCACCTATAGACATGTCCGGAATGCAATGACGATAACACAACTAACTAACTAACTAACTAACTAACTAACTAACTAACTAACTAACTAACTAACTAACTAACTACTAACTAACTAACTAACAAGGAACAAGGCTGACCTGGAAGCAGTTTATAAAAACGTTGCTTCCAATTTGTTAGAGAGCATATACGTTTTTTTTTTTTTTTATTATTATCAAGAAATCATAATTTTTTAACCCTTTGGCTGGGCACTATGGATATCGCAACCCTTCGTCTTAATTCCATGATAGGCAACGTAAATCTGGGAGAAATATGGCTTTTCTACCTAACCCCGGGCGTGAACCCAGACCACGAGGAGTTCGTCACCCAGTCACTGCGAAGTCAGCTTTAACCAACTACGCTAACAAGCCGGGCAGAGCATCTTCTAGATGAGTTATAGGAGTGAGTGTTACGACAGTTTTCTTTTTCAGTTCTCTGTATTTAAGAGCACATATGGCTACCACAAACTCGGATGAAGTATAGTAGAGTCTTAGATGTATCTATGAAGAATTACAGATGGATAGAATATCTCGCTCCCAACCTCGGTATACAGGTGCTTGCAAGCTGAAAGTGAATGATACTGCTGTTTAGCTGGAATCACAGAAACAGGATATAACATATCTTGTTGCAAGAAGGGTCGTCATCGAGATGGGAATTGTGACCTCAAAAAGAAAGAGAAAAAAAATAATGAAAGAACAAAAGTCTTTTGATAACTTTATTGCTCACCGTTATCAGCATATGAGCTGCTCTCACAGATCATTGAAAGAGAATCCCAACATTGCTCTTATAGAAACTCTCTAGCATCAAGTAGGATCCACATGTGTGCATACACTATAACTATACATCTACTACTGTTTTTATTAATTTGTACATGGATTTTATTTTTACTTATATTATTTAAAACAAATCTCGGCATCGACATATTCGGTTACTCTTTATGATTTCCAGTCGTATTAAAATGTCTTCACTATTCATATCCGATTATTTCTAACATTCCCAGATGAGAAGATGCAAATCAGTTCCATAAACAATAACAGTAAATCCGCTATGTGGTCGATAGTCTGTCGAGGACTAGGAAATGGCAAAGCCTTCTCGTAAGCGAACACAAGAGAATAAATGTCTTTCTGATGGCAGACAAAGAGGAGGAGCGGGATGAGTAAGCACAAGATGAAGACAAAGAAGAAGAAGAAGAAGAAGAAGAAGAAGAAGAAGAAGAAGAAGAAGAAGAAGAAGAAGAAGAAGAAGAAGAAGAAGAAGAAGAAGAAGAAGAAGAAGAAGAAGAAGAAGAAGAAGAAGAAGAAGAAGAAGAAGAAGAAGAAGAAGAAGAAGAAGAAGAAGAAGAAGAAGAAAGAAGAAGAAGAAGAAGAAGAAGAAGAAGAAGAAGAAGAAGAAGAAGAAGAAGAAGAAGAAGAAGAAGAAGAAGAAGAAGAAGAAGAAGAAGAAGAAGAAGAAGAAGAAGAAGAAGAAGAAGAAGAAGAAGAAGAAGAAGAAGAAGAAGAAGAAGAAGAAGAAGAAGAAGAAGAAGAAGAAGAAGAAGAAGAAGAAGAAGAAGAAGAAGAAGAAGAAGAAGAAGAAGAATACGAAGAAGAAGAAGAAGAAGAAGAAGAAGAAGAAGAAGAAGAAGAAGAAGAAGAAGAAGAAAGAAGAAGAAGAAGAAGAAGAAGAAGAAGAAGAAGAAGAAGAAGAAGAAGAAGAAGAAGAAGAAGAAGAAGAAGAAGAAGAAGAAGAAGAAGAAGAAGAAGAAGAAGAAGAAGAAGAAGAAGAAGAAGAAGAAGAAGAAGAAGAAGAAGAAGAAGAAGAAGAAGAAGAAGAAGAAGAAGAAGAAGAAGAAGACGGAGAAGAAGATTTAGAAGAGGAGGAAGAGGAAGAAGAAGAAAAAGAAGAACAACAACAATAACAACAACAGCATCAGCAACAACAAGAACAGCGGCATCAGCATCAGCAACAACAACACCAACAACAAACAGGTAACTGCTGCAGTGTAACTAACTATAACAGTAATGTTATTACCAAGGTTGTGGAACTTACCTGTAGGTTTGTCACGAATCAACTTGCAGCTCTCTAGCTCCCCAATGCTGGCAAACAGCGAACGAATCTCATCCTGGGACATGGTCTGTGGCAGATAGTTGACAATCAGGTTGGTTCTGCTGGTTCCGTCATCTGAATGGTCCGGTGACGTGGAGCCACCGTTCTGTGTGATGCCCATCTGGGACTGATCCATGAGTGTATGGTCTCCCAAAGTGATCTGTTGAGATGCAAAATACTTCTTTTGAAACTTTGAAAGTTACAGAGACACAACATTATTTGGTTCACTCGCTAGCCATTGTCCATGTGAGACTGATCAATGATTTGTATGGTCTCCAAGAAGGATCTGTTAGGGAGTCCTTAGCCATTGTTGTTAAACAGTGAAAGAATACAACATAATTTATATTCACTGGCTGGCATTTGTCCATCTGCTAACTTGTCGTTGAGGGGGCTAAGCGGTCTCGGGGCATGGCGTGTGCCTCAAATTCTAGAAGTTCCGGGTTCAATCCCCGGTAAGGGTTGGGATTTTTTCACGTGGATTTGGACTTTTGCTCCGTTCTTCTTCTAGCTCAAGTCTGAGTCCGGGAAAGCTTATAATGCACAGGCTCTGTAGCACCGGCAAGGATCCTGAAATACTTTGAGTCAATTTTTAACGCCACATTTTGCCCGGGCAGCGCCGTTAGGCTACTCTTTTCAATTTCCAACTGCCAAGGGATTTTTGCGTGTGCAACAATGCACACGGGCGTCCGATCTTACTACCTAGAGACTAGAGGGAATTACTAGAAGTCCAAATCCACGTGAAAAAATCCCAGCCATTACCGGGGATTGAACCAGGAGCCTCTAGCACTCGAGGCGGATACCATGCCTCGTGACCACGCAGCAAACCACCCCCCCTCCCCACCCCCCCCCCCCCCCCCCCCACCGTTCTACCGAATGAGAAGAAAGATAACGAAGCATAAACTAACCAATGGACAGATTTGTGGGGGGGGGGGGGGAGATAAAGCACAAGACAATATCAGAAGAATTTTGAAAACTTTTTTGGTCATGGCAAACGAAGCATAAACTAACCAATGGACAGATTTGTGGGGGGGGGGGGGGGGGGGGGGGGGGGGGGGTGGGGTGGGGGGGGGGGGGTGTGGGGGAGAGAGAGATAAAGCACAAGACAATATCAGAAGAATTTTGAAAACTTTTTTTGTCATGGCAGGGTTGGTATGCCAGCACACAACTAGACAAGCCAACAATTGAGTCAAAAACAGAGCCCACAATCTGTACAGTTCCTGGCCACTTACGTAACCACTACACCAGGAAAAAGTCATAACGTTATAAACTTCAGTAACTAGATATAGCAATAAAATATACGTGTCAACAATAATTAGAGAATACCTCAAGCAAACGATAAGCCAAATAACCGTGGTTAATCAAACTTCGAAGGTACATCAACGGAAACTTAAGGGAATTGTTCAAAAGTAAAACCAGTGCCGGGAGTCGCCGTGGCAAAGTGACTAGACACTTGCCACGGATCGGAAGGTCGTGGGTTCGGCGGAGCTGGACTTTTCTTCAAATATGACCTTGGCTCCCAGGTTGACCCAGCCTTGAAAGGGTACAGGGTGCAGTCCTGGGAAGTAGAGGCGGCCGGCGTGATGCTGACCTCATAACTCATCTTGTGCCGTTGGTCTATAAAATATAGGTCTAGCCCTATATGCCCTATACACCCAAAGGCGTGGAAAAGGGTCCTTTACTTTTTGTTTAAACCAGTGCAGGCATAGAGTATTTAATTCTGACAAAATTATGAGTTAGGGGGAGGAGGTTCATAGGTCGCAACATTAAATTCCACAGGAAGAGGAAAGGAAAAAATAGCTCACAGATCTTTATTTAAAGTGGAATGAGTTAGGAGTTAACAAATGATACCACAACCCTCGCGACATCACCGTAAGCGATGTGTTGCCATTTTCAGCAGCAAGCACAGAGTTATGTATCTAATGGTACCAATAGCAGTCTGATATATCCGTATGTGCGTTCGCTCTGTTTACTTGCTCCGAGAGTGTCCTTACAACATCTAGCTTAGCATACGTCAATTTACCAGCAAGTTGTACAGAACCAGCTATTTTATCTGCCTGTTTATTTCCAAACACACTGGCATCGATTAGAAACAAGAAGGGGGATGGTGTGTGTTCAAAGAGCGTTAACCACTCAAGACGTCGAAAATGATGCTTGCCACTCTGCACAGATTATATCTCTCTCCGCCTTTCTCAACGTGCTCTGTGAGTCAGTTACACCCTCGACATGTGCGTGCAGCTGGTTCTCATGCCGGCGGCACGCTACTTTGACAACCTTCCTCTTTATTCTCAAGCTAGATGATGTCGTATCGAATGACAGGCTTTGTTGCACCAAGCGATGTTTACTGACGAAGAAAAAGAGGAGAATAGCTTATGAACGTTATATTCATTTAGAAGGGGAAGAGTATCGTTGGTCACAGCTCTAAATTTCAGGGAAAGAGAAAGCTTTTAACGCTACGTTCAGTTGAAAAAGAAAGTTAGATTACAACTCTAAATTATGTGGCCATACTATATGGCGCCATTGGCAAAATCGTTGCACTCTAAATCTTGCACACACACACACACACAAAAAATATATATATATATATATATATGTGTGTGTGTGTGTGTGTGTGTGTGTGTGTGTGTGTGTGTGTGTGTGTGTGTGTGTGTGAATGAATGAATGAAACCCATGCCTCAGTAAAATGTTGAACATAAAAGTGAAGAAGTCAGAGAAACGTATGTGCAGCCACAGGTAAAAACAGTCGAAAGAAACAGAATATGGCTCTATACTAGACTTATCCTGAGAAACAACTAGCAGAGAATCACAAAACCGGCTTTAAAAGGCTTGGAAAGGGAGGGGGAAGGAGGCGCTGAGGGAAGAAACGCCAATGGTGCTAAATTGAATTCAATGCATAATATTGGAAGGATGCACAAAATAGAACGGAATGAAGGAATAGACCATATTTCTTATGTGACTTATAAAACCACAACAGGACAATGATGATGATGATAATGATGATGATGATGATGATGATCATGATGATGATGATAATATTAATGATGATGGTGATGATGGTTACACGGATAAGGCAATGTAATCATCCTTCATAAATCGGATAACTTGCCATCGAGAATTTAGTCAGCCATTTTGCCCTACTTACGCTATTTTATTGATTTATAATAGTAGGGATCGATAAAAAAAATATACTAAAGTTATTCTAAAAGATTCTGACTCACTAACAAACATGGCTACCCCCACCAGTAGAAGATACTTCCTATTCTTTAGGCATGTAGTTAGACTCGGTACTGCGGCTAGACACTCACTTGTTGGCCCGAGGTCTTGGGTTCAAATCCGCAGATTTTCATTTTTCAACACCGAACGGCTTTTATGCGACCCAGCTTTAAATGGCTACGAGGTAATGTCATAGAAAGTAAAGGCGACTGGCGTGATGTTGCTGACATCATCCGCAGGGTGCCGACTGGTAATTGAAAATATGAATACCGAACCCTGGATCGCCACTGCCGTGAAAGTGGTCCTTTGCTTTTCACAAGCATGTTGTGAGAAAGCGAATGCTAATGCGCTACCTTGCAACCGAAACGTTCAAAGAGAAAAGATTCATGGGAAGCCTGTTTGTTGTTCACTTAGTCGTACATTGGTCTAAGTAACGACAAAAGGTGGGTGGCGGAAAATGTAAGTGAAGTAAACGCGGCAAGTTTAATACTGACCACATCATCCTTTAAATACTGATTTGCTGGCAAACATACGGGTTCGGTGCTATGCCAGATTGTCTACAGGCAAATATTACTCTGATTATATACAGTTGTGATTTTATTATCTGTCAACATTGGTCAAGCGGGGGGAGGAGATGATTAAAGGTGATAGGCGAGTAAGAGTTGACTTTATAGCAGCTGCCATAGGGTGCTCACACGGTTCAGCATACAACATGATGCGTAATCGATTGAAATTTTTCGTCCAATGAAAACCCACCTTGGCGGGAGACATTTCGCGAATGACGCTGAATGTGAAGTGAAAATTGGGTAAGAAAACAGAGCACGCAGTTCTATACAGCAGGTTCAGGGGGACTGATAAAACGATGGGATAAGTGCATCAATGTTGGAGGAAATTATGTTCACAAATAAATGGACAGTGTATGTGTAAATTAAACGGTTTTCCAGTTATTATCGCCTTTCGTTCTTCTTAGTTTTAACCAGGTGTTCAATCCGGCGGAATGTTCTGATTGTTTATCCACTTTGTGACGTTCGTCTTGTTACAGAATATGAGTTTTGCAGGCACATCCGTTTTATTGATTTGGCTATTCGCATGCAGACTGTTAGTTCCTCGATTCTCAGGCAGATAAACCCCGACTTAAAAGGAAACGCCCCGACATTAGAACAATGAAAAGATCACTCAAATTATGGAATGATGTCGTCAAGAACACCCTTAGAAAAACTAAGACACGCCTACACGGCTCATTTGAAAGAGCACACAGATGATCCTTGCATCTGCCTCTCCTCCCTCTCCCTCCCCATCCCTCTCCCCTACCCCCTCCTTTTCCCGTTTCTTCCCGCCAGCACTTCACTGAGGCAGCTAAAAAAAAAATAAAAGAAGACGAAATGTAATCCACATTTTATGTGTAGCATATGGGTGAATGAATGCCTTTGATCTTGAGCAAAGTATTTCGCCTAGACTGCTAACTAAAACTAGGTAATAAAAATTGCCCGGGAGATTGGATAGACAAGCCACGGCTGGTGAGTCATGGTTCTCTTAAACGCACATCAATGACTCCGTTAGTTACGATTATTAGAGTCAGAAATCCATGTTTACAATAGCAGAAGCGATCACAGACAAGGACGAAACAGATACATGCATTCCAAATTGACTGTTGAAAGTGTGGTCGAAACGTCTGGTTATATTCTTGCGCGTCTTTTCCATTTCTTCTGTTGAGCTTTCTAGGCACATGTTAGGCTGTACTTAGCACCCGCTGAAAAAAAAAAAATGTTTACTCGATTCTACCTTCTCCAAGGATTCAGTGAAATGAGTAACATGTGGGCACAACACTATTTTTATGACGTGACTGAGACAGCAGGAACAACATCATGCAGCAAATTCCTTGAGAAACAGAAGATCGAATGGTTTGGTCATTTAGAAAGAATGCAGCCAGAACAAATGCCGACGCAGGCG